GCCTTGGTCTCTTTCCTCACACAGAAGAATAGTCATCACTGAATCTGCTCTTGAAAATGGTAATACTTGAGGTAGAAAGTGTACTGGCTTGATTCCCTCATCTGATAAAGTATCAGAAATATCAGCAGTGACTTCAAATCCCAATTCTGATATCTACTTCATCCCCTCAGTGCATTACCCACCACATGGCAGGGCATGTCCTGAAACACAAAGTGCTATGGGGTCAAGTGATAAACCTATCAATGTCCCAGCATCTAAGTTATACTCATTACCTAGCAAGTTCACAGCTCATTTTCAACCAACTGAAAGTTGTGGTTTCAAAGAACAGAGACAAACATACATTTCACTTCAACAGTGAGAGACCCTTTGCGCAGTAAAAAGTCTCATCCCACTATTACATCACTTGGTAATATAAATAAGGTACAACTGAAAGCAATAAGTTAGACAGGACTTGAAGAAGAAGAAAAGCTTTATAAGGAGCATTTAAAACAGAAACCAAGACCAAGGACAAGACTAGTGCAAACTTCATAAAGGTCTCCTGCCTTGATAGTTCAGCAGTTGAGTTGACTTGAGATGGGGGAGAGTGCTGTGAATAAGCTGTTGTGTGATCCAGCGGCTCTGGAAAGCACATGTCCATATGGATGGAGGGAGGAAGAGTGGGTGGTAGCATGAGTTTCTGTGCATTTTACATTGCTAAAACCCATCATATACAATATCAGCACCTGATCAAGGCCTACAGCAAACAGCCACATGTGGGACACCCTACTGTCAATCCTCAGCACTCCCAACCTGAAGGATTTTCCAGAGTTCACGGTGAACTTTATTCAGCAAAATGGCCTGATCTAACTGTCTTGCAGACACCACTAAGAAAAAAAACTTACTGAAAACACAGAAGTTGATAGGTTCTGTTGCAACAGAGCAAAAATTGATAACAAAGCTTTATGCCACACATTTCTACCCTGTGAATTGAGAATTTTTGAAAATAGCATTCAACAAAAGTAACATATTTTTATTTCATTAATAACAGCTGGAAAAAGTCAAAACCCAAGCGAAGAATTTGATAAAGAGACACAGCTTTCAGTGAGAAGAAAGGTTTAGACCTCCAGCAACATACTCAGGAAATATAGCATGTAAAAAAAATTGATACAGCATGTGCAGTTGTTACTACAAAAACTTACAGGTTGCTTTATTCAGTGCCAAAATTTCTTCTGTCTAGATCAGGCATTAACTGCAGTTACAGACAGTAACAAAGACAAGCTTGCCACAGCATTTCAGAGGGTGTTACACTTGCTCTGAAGGACAGCTTTATTAATTTTCATATGCTTCTGTAGGGAAGTGAAAAATCAAAGCCGAAACCTCAGGCCTTTTTGTCCTTGCAAGATGTTCTACCCAGGCAAACCTAAAACTTGAATGCAGTTAATTACCACCATTCTAAAAATAAATTAACATTGGTATGTGTGCCATGCTGATAGTACCACATTTTCAGTACTAAAACAGAGTTGGTGAGTCTGCTAACTAATTAGTGTTTATTAAGCTTGGGCACATCTGCCCAAAATGCCAGATAAGCTCCACAAAGGCACCAAAGACAGAATGACACCGCAAGAATAGTGGCTTGCCACACTACCCCATTTAGATCTTCCTTGGGTGGTCTTGGTGGGCACATGGGAACACCCTTCTGCTGATATTGCACTGATGCAGTAATAGTGCTTTATGCAGCAAGTAGGGAAGGTGACAGTAAAAGACAAAGTAGCAATGATTCATATGCTGTGGGCATTACATTTTCAGAAATTCACCTCTAGGCAAAAGGCCAGCAGAAAGCAGAGGACCTCAAAAGCAGCTCAAAGTGGTGCTTAAGTAATTGATGGGCCCCATGCCAGTCTTGTAGGTGAATTTCACCCTCAGACTAAGGAGAGAAAATTTAAGAGAGCCAAATGTGAATAGAAAAAATCATCAAGTCAGCAAAGCAAAGGAGTGGCAGGTTGTAAGGATACTAGGTCAAGTCAGGAGGAAAGGACAATAATATAGAAGTCAGACTACTTTGTTTCCTGGTAATTCAAGAGTTAACAAAGAAACTATAAAAGAGAGAATGCAGTGGACATGGTGTTTTCAGGAGCACCTTATGTAAAACTGAGTTGGTTCACTTTTCTAAAGAAAGCACCAGTAAGAGTTCAAGTCATGAAATGAGCTAATGAGGAGCACTTCCTACTCAAGATAGTAAAACCAGTTTTCTCAAGCCAAGGATCTTAACTGTCCAGAAATGGACACATCAACTAACCTTGAATGATTCTGTTAACTTGAAAAGCATAAAAATCCAGTTTTCTCTTTAAAAATGTATTAAATTTGGATATTTGAAAGACATACTGTATCAAAATGTCTAATCCAACTATCCCAAGTTATGTATTAACTAAGCATTAGCTTAGGTTTTAAAAGTAAAAGTGATTATTTCTGATGTGGTGCTATGCTGGTGGAATAAAAGCAGAGCTCTTCAAAACAGAACATCCATAGTATTCAGTCTTTCATGCCCTCTCTCAGTAAGGCAGCATGTGTTGCTGTCCTAGAGCTGCACCTGCAGGGATTGCCACTGCACCTGGACTCACCCACCATGCTTATCAGCCTTCCGGACTAAGTATCTTAGGGATGGTCTTAAGCAGACCTTGTTACTTCACAGATTCACAGAAAACTCAGAGTTGGAAGGGACCCACAAGGATCATCAAGTCCAACTCTTGACTTTGCACAGGACATCCCCAAGAATCACACCATGTGCCTGAGAGCATTTCCAAATACTTCTTGAACTCTGTAAGGCTTGGTGCTGTGACCATTTGAAAGGATTCAGACCTCTACTGTACTGTTAACACAGCAAGACACTGCTGACTATGATATGAACTTTCTCTCCAAGCAAAACAGCTTTTTGAAGGAAAGGACTTTCTATCAAATTTGTCAGAGAATTTATTATTCTTACTTCTTTCACAAGCTTCCTAAGGAAGCAAGTAAGTGTTCTTTGTAATTATTCCGTTAAAAAAAAGCCTCAAGACAAAAAATATTATCCACTTGGGTACTGTAGCAAAGCTCTGAAAGAAGTGTCTCTCTCCAGATTCTGTATGGATTTTATTCCTTACAAACCCAGATCTCCCACCTAAGTGGACTCAGAAAAATCTTTGGTGTTTGATGAGCAGCAAAAAGCCTGTACTTTGTTTAGTTACACAATGTTACTAGGAAGATGGTGCAAATATAAATACAATCACTATAATAATTTTGCAAATTTACATATATTTCCATGTGAAAAACCTGAGTATACAAAGCAAAACAATGACAATAACACAAAATGTTAAAAGACTCATTTAATAACACTATGTAAAAATGAGTAATTATAAATACATACATAATTACATAATGAACAATTTCTCTTTGTAAAATTGGAATCTGTTGAAAGTTAAAATTACAGCCAAAGTACACAACCTATCCTCGTTCAGCAAGCAGCTGCATACCTTGTTCCAACAACCACACCATGTCAGCCAGCCCTCCTCAAACCATAATGATGTGGTGAACTGGGAGGAAGACATCCTGCACTTTGTATGTCAACTCAGCCTTCAGAAACAGCTCACAATGGCTTGTAATGAAGCATGCATTTACTGTATTCTTCTTAGCCTGTAGAAATGCTGGTATTCAGAATTTTTCCTAGAACAGACACTTCCCTTGTGCTGAGATTCACTTTATTAATTACAGACATGCTTTCTAGTAGTGATTTTGTGATACTTGCTAGTGGTGATTTTTGTGGCATTTGCGGTAATGAAGTACAAAAACTCGGAACATAAAGCCTTTGTGTCCTTGTGTATTTCAGAATCCTATGAACCCACAGCAGTGATCTCTACATACCCACAAGCTAAGTAACCTTCTAGGCTGTGACAGTTGCCTATTAAAACTACTTTCTATTTCAAACCACAGCCATTTGCAAAATCGATTGCAGAAAAGAGAATATCAGATCATGGCCATACAGCATGTTAAAGGATGAAGTACACACAGACTGTAAGTGTTCAAGGAGGCAGAGAGAGTTTGTACATCGCATGCTGCTCTGGTCCATTTGGAGAACTGGTGCCCACACTTCCCTGGGGGTTGACTATTTCTAAATAGCTGAGAACAGCTCTGATGTGCTCTCCCCACATCATTGGTCCTGCTGGCACCAAGTTGCCTGGCACCTGGGACAGCCTCAAGAACTACAACCATAAAAATCATTAGTACTTTTTTTAAGGCCTTCTTTTACTTCAAAAGCACCAGAAACATTTAGGATACATTTTCTCATATCAAATTTTTGTCCAAAACAAAGAAGGCAAGATTACATGAAAACACTGAGCGCACACATTCCCCTAATTTCACCTCTCAAATATGAACACAAATATGGCCTCACTTGCACAAAAGCTCTGAGAACTACTCACACTGTAAAAACACTTTGCACCATAAATTGTATTACTGTCTATGGCAGGGTTAACAGACCTATGCCAGAGTGCTTAGAAGCCATCAATACCCTTCTCTGCTTAAATCACCTGAAACACACCATTGGTGAGAAACTCCATGGAAACTTTCTTTTACAGTCATCAGTCAAAGTATTCTATTGGCAAAAAAAAAGGCATTTTATAAAACATTAGTGAATCTTCTTTGTTAGTAAAAACTAACCTCTGCCAGAGGCATTTAAACAAGGATGGTGCAGAAATTGTGATGAATACTTTGGTAAGCCTTACTGCCAGCTTAATGCCTATAGTGAAAAATAATGAAGTGAACTAGGCACGTTGCTATACCTTTTTTTTCTTTTAAAATCCCATTAAATATTGCTAAGAACTTATATTCCTTACCAATGCCAGTAGGAAAGCATTTTATGAATGCAAATTGAATTTTAATTCTTATTCTTCATGAACACAGGCTTCATACATGTGCTTTATATTATACCTACATGAGACTTCAAACAAGTCTGTGATACATTAAGAAAACATAATAATATAAGTGCCTACCTTTTTCAGGAACCGTACTCCATAGGTAAATATATAAAGGTAAAATGTAAATCTCCACCTGCAAAAGGTACAAGAGATTAACTCTAGGACACCAGGTTTACATATCTTACAGTTCAACACATGATTTCTTATAGCACTGCCAAACCACCACACCCTGGTGACATTAACAGAAGTTGAAGTAAAGTTTTGGTCTGGTCTTCTCTAACTTTTGTTATCAACTTTATGCTCATTTGCCTGTTCTTCCTGGCCTCCCACTAGCTTTGTGAAAATACTAGCTAATTTCACCTAGACATGATGGGCAAAACCCCCCAAAATTTTCAAGGATAATTAAGTTTTTCAAAGTTTCATGAAAACTAGCAAGACTGTGGAGGACAGAGGACAATTTGAACATCTGTTGCAGGAAAGTTCACCTGTTCTTAGGCATCAGGACAAAGAAACTAAGAAATTTTATTAAGCCTTCAACAGGTGAATTTGGAGTACTGCATGTCAACTACACCCTTTGGTAATGAAAAGCATCATTCACAATTCGCTGGAAATTAGTAGATTCCAGCACTTCACTCCTGGTTTGAAGGACTGCATTTGTGTCACATGGACATGCTGAATATAGATATGTATGTCTTTCTCCCTTCTTCAGTAAAAGAAGACATACAGGAGGACTTCATATCTTTTGGACCCATTACTCACTTAGGAAAAAGAGTTAATAGAAGTATAAGGAAATAAAAATCACAACCTCATGGAGTGTAAATTCTAAACAGAATTCCTGCTTGGTGTCCCCCCCACCAAGGGTTGGAGTGACTACACACACATGTTTAATATAAACACCAGTAAAGTAATATTCATAACACTTACAGCAGGATGAGATTTAGCTTCCTTAGTGTGAGGCAACACCGCAATGTGAATCATCTTCAGTGACATATTTTACAGCACTTACAACTTCCTCTCCACTAGCAAATCTATTAGCCTACAGTTAACTGGCACTGGAGCGTGTTCAAATATTATTGCAATGGTTATAAAACTGAAAAAGTTCCTATGTAAAAGAAAGTTAATCCAAACCTTTCTCTTCAAAGCTCCTTTTACAAGTATTTAGAAAGACAGTTGTGTCATACATAAATAGCCCTGTGACAAGTTCAGTAGGGGAGAGTGTAAGAACATCAGTGAGATTTAAAGTGTGATACTTCAGCTGAACAAAACCTCTCTTTTATCCTGTAGTCTCCACAGCACTGGAGAGACTAATGTATTCAACTGATATAATACACACACTAAGCCCTTCAAGGGTTGGGTCACTGTAGTAACATGGCTCACACTTTTCATGCTGGCAGTTTCCTCAAGACACTGAAAAAATAGAGTACTTGCAGGCAAAATGCTAGTTGTGCTAGTAGAAACCTTCAGATCATGCACATGGAAGAAGGACAAGGACATTAATATGAAGGAAAGATTTATTTGGGTGAAAACTTTCTTGTTAGGCAAGTCCTACAGCTAGGAAACCTTCTCCTTCAAGTTTACATAGATCATCTAGTGAAAGTTTGAAGGCTGTCAGTGAAACTAAAAATATCAGGAGGAAAAAAACTGTCTAACCTAATCACTGAGGAGCAGTCCCAGTGCCCTTCTTTCACTCCTTGATGTGAGCAGTTATGATAAATTCCTTGCGAAGAGTTTTATCATCTCTATTTCACATTCCTCCAAGCAAAATCCATAACATATTTGAGGATATTTGTAGTGTGCTGTTGGGAGATGCAATATTCCATAGAGGAGTCCAAAGGCAGTCTGAAGTATTTGAAATATGTTAATGGTTGAGTTTTGGCAGATGGGTCTCAGGGATTTTTCAGTCTGCACAGACATTTTGAAGACTGCAGAATTCCTGCAGCTGTATCACCCCAAAGAAAATAAAAAGACCCCTACCCAAAACAAGCAAATTTCTGAAGTTTCCAAAACACCTCAGAGCCAAGAGCACTGGGTATTATCAAATTGCTCCAACTCTACAACTGCTACGAATTTGAGAGGTGCATAATGTACAAATGTACCTGGACTGAGCATCAGAAGATAAAGCAGGGCTCAGAACTAAGTGATAGACAAAGCTGGTCAAAGTGCTAACTTCTTAAAAAAATAAATAATATTGCTAGAAAAAAAATCCTCAAT